TTTGGTATCTTGGACTGTGCCTCCTGGAGGAGAGAGGAGGGAGGCAGGCTGGAAGGGGGGGTCTCTGCAGGCTCCAGACAAGGGTGGAGAAAGGGGCACGAAAGTGCAGCTCAGCTCAGGCGTCTAATTCAGATGTTCTGAAAAATCCTCTGAAAGGAACCTTTTCTTTTTTTTTTCTCAGGGATTACATAAGAAGTGGGAGTTGGGTGATGTGAGTCCTCCTCAGGGTATTAGTCATAATGCAGACACTGGCTTGAAACATCTTCACTTGATACATCTGTGCTTTTACCTTTAAAAAAGGAATCATTTGGCTGTGGTGGCACTTGGGAGCCTGTAGGTCCTCACTGCCTTGAATTTTTCCTGTGTGAGATGTTTTGCCGTCCTGTGTTAGGTATTTCTTCTAATTTCTCAGCATTAGAAAACCTGGTCAGTGGGGACTCATTTTTTATCTCTCAGAAAATGACAAATACAAACTTAATTGAAAGGGAAATGATTTTTCCAGATTTATAGATTTCTGAGGCTTGGAGCCTGCATGAGTAACTTTAATTAAATTCATTTTCTGCGGAGCTGCTCGTTGTTTCAGTTACTCAAATCTCTACACATGTTGCTCCTCCTTGCTTTTCAATTTGCTCATGAGACGTTATTTAAATGCTTGTCAGCTGCCTGAGAGAACCTGGAGGAGCAGGGATAACTTCAAGTGTCACATAGGAAAGGGGAAAAACATTAAATTCTGTCCTTTCCTATTTTTATGATACTTCATATGGGCAAAACTAAGTCAACACCCATGTCTGTGTTGGGTGAGAAACCTAAACCATGAAGCAATCCTGTTATTTTTCTTCAATTATCTTCTCTTTGGCCTTTGTTTTGGTAACCAGGAGAACACATGGTAGTGATGAGACTTTGAATGCTGTTAATTAGGTAATTAAGAGTGCCTTGAGAGGATTATTCATATATAAAAGGTTAATGGGAGGCTTTAATTTATGGAGAGCAGCATGGCCAAAAACAACGGAGGGGAAATGTTGTTTGGTGGCCGAAAAAGAGTTTAGCTGGAGAGAGAAAGGTGAGTGAAAGGGAGAGGGTTGTGTTTTCTACCAGGGCTGCAAAGTGCTTTCATCAAGTGGAGAAAAAGGTGGTTCAGAACCGGTGTGGACTGAGGGTGTTCTGAGGAGAGGAGATGTGACATGAGGAGTCTGTGTGACGTTAGTGCAAGAGGAAACAGTCAGACACGAAGAAAGAATTGTTTTATCAAAGCAGCAGCACGATGCCCACAGAGATGAAAGAAGGAATCATGGTCTCTGAGCTCCTGGAGATTAAGAGGCAGATGTGTGAGACTTGTGTGAAGAGAGAAAAGCAGTTTTGTTCTTGCACAAAAGGTGTGCTTTCGTTTCAGTCAGTGGCGGCTGCTTTTTGATCCAGGAAAAAACGCAAGAGTGAGGGAAATTAAAGTTCTTAATGTGTTTTCTTGTTTCCTTGTTGAGTCATTCTGAGAAAACTCATAATGAAAGGATGGTAACTAAGTGTCTAAAGGAACAGTCTGTCTCGCAGAGAGATGGAGATCAGACCAAATGAAGGGAAATGATTTCCTGAAGCTGAGCCACGGACAAGGTCAGCAGGTTTGGTGAAAACAGCTGAAAAAGGTGCTGACGCTCCTCTGTTTAATTATGGAGGGTGTTTGGACTCTCAGGCTTTTAATTCTGTGCCCTCAACTTCAAAAGCTGCGACTCAGTGCAATTTTGAGGGAGATGTGCCCCACAGGAGAGCATACACAGGTTGTCCCAGTGACCAGTGGACAGGTTGCCAGAGGAGAGTGTGGTGCATGGGGTTTAAAAAGTGTCAGCAGGTCAAAGCTGTGGGTTAAAGTCTGTAAGAATCATGGAAAGGATGGTTTGTTTTGGGGTATTTTTAAATATTTTGCTTTGAAATGAAGGAAAGATCTTTCTTGGTTTGTTCTCTTTCTGGTTCAATGCTTCTAAAATTTCTGCTCCATCTGGTATGGAAATTTGAGGAGAGACCAACAATAAAACGCTGCATGGGGACAATTTTATTTAAAAAAGGTCAAGTTAGTTAAGTTCCAGAATAAGTCAAAGGACAGTTCTCATGGATGTGATACTCAGACTGTTTACCTAAGAAAGGACAAAGACATCAAGCAGTGAAGATAAGCTCTGAATTATCATAAACTCCATTTCACATGAGAAACTGGCATTTTAATTCAAAAGGAAATATTCATAAGCCATCTTAGTTTGTAATTTGAATATAATGTGATGAAACCTGGTAATAAGAGACTGGTGGGGTTTCTTTCTCTTGCTGTCACAACAGGTGGCTGTGGAACACAGTCTGAACAGCACAGCCTTTCCAAAATAATCACTTCGGGAATGTTAAGAGGAAATTCAAATACACATCGAGGACACAGAAACAGATCTCACCTTGCAGGGGGAAGAAGTGAGAGTTCGTTCCAAAGTCCAGGGAGTTTTGTGAGGAAACTCATGTTGATTTTGGTCAATGGGTTAGTTTGGTATCGAGGAAAGCTGCAAAATCCGTGTGTTGTTCGTATTTTGGTCCGTGAAAATGAAGATTTACTGTGAGAAGAAAATTCGCAGCTGGTAGGAAAATTCAGTGTTTATTGGTGAGATGGTAGGAATTGCAGTGAGTGCTAAGGAATATCCTGAAACTGTGTTTCAAGTGCAAGAATTTACCACCTGCTTTTACCTATGCTTTATCATACAAAACCAAAGTGAAGGAGTAAAAACCTCACAGCACAACGAGCAGAAATTTGGATGAGAAGCAGATATTTTATTTCAGTTGTGCATCAGTATTTACAAACATCCCCAGCTGAGTTAGGACATTCTGATTGCATTTTATTTTAGTGAGGTGCTTTCAAAACTCATGGCTGGTGAAAGAAACTCTGAGCAATTGATCTTTAATTCCTGGTGCATTTTGCTTCATCTAATGAGGTGATTCATCCACAAGGTTGTCCTTGTTGAGCTGCCCATTAAACACATGGCACAGCCTCTCCTTTCCATGCTTTTGGAAATAATGATCCATTCAGATGTGGGGCATCAGATGGTCAAGGTTTATGTAATGTCTTTTTAAATGACATATCCAGGTTGGAGCAATCCAGGGGAAAAGAGCACGTCTCAAAACAAATTTTTTTTTTTTAGCCAATCTGGGCTTTTGATTGTTGGGGAAGAAACAGCGAGTTTTGAAGAGGCTTGATGGCTTTGGAGGTGGTTGGGGAATGGTCAGTGTGTTGGACCAAAGCACTGAGGAAGGAAAATCAGCAAAGTCATAGAGCAAACTCTGATTTGGGTAAATAAATGGTAGGAGGAAGCATCTGCCTTCATCTCTGTTGGGTTCTTGTTGGAGTCCAAGCCCTGCAGAGCTCATTCCTTTATAGGTTTTACCCAGCACTCACCAAAATCAGTTGGGAAGTTCTCCAGCCGTTTTCAGATTGTGTCCAAGGGGGTTTTCCATGGTTTCCTTATGGCTCAGCTGCCACTTCTGGCCAGCACATTCCCAGTTGCACATCACCCACTAAAACCATGACAATATATCCCAGCTTTGAGAGCTACCAGTTATTTTGAAATGTCCTAACCAATGTGGAAGAATTTTCCAGATCCTTTTTCTTTTTAATTTCTGTGTTGTATCTGTGATTTTTGCTCTGTTGTGCAGTGTAATGGCCTTGCTAATGTGTTCCCCTGCCTCAGTGGTGAGCTACTTAATGTATCTTGAAATAGTGTAATTTTGTTGGCATTACAGAGGACATGGAATTATATACATTATTCAGCGTGTCCCCTGTTATTCCCCCGAGAGTATAAAAATAGAAATGAATAAAAAGTGCTTTAAGTGGATATATGGTTATGAAGGAGATTAAGTCTGTGTGTACACACAGGTTTGTCTTCTTCCCGTGGTGACTTTACCCTCTCTGACGTGAGGGAATGAGATGACCTTCCCTTTGCAGAAGAAAGACAAAGTGGGTTAGGAAATGTGTATAATTTATAAGCCATTCTCTATAGATAAGAGTGAATATCCTGTATAAATCACAGCCTTGCAGAACTCAGGAAGGTTTGTCAGTGCTGTGACACGATGCAAGCCACACACTGTCAGTTTTGTATCTTCTCACAAGGTGTGTGTTGGATGAAAAATAAATCTACCACAAAATGGAGATATTGCAACATATTGTGTTGGGTTTGGGCCAAAGTCTGTGTATGGGAAAGGGAATCAGCTCACCAGGAGGCACAGAAATCCATGACTTTGCTTTCCTCTTGAATTGTCTCTAAAGCCTCTTTGTATCTCTTATTAGTCAATTTGATATTTAAGTGCTGATCAGGTCACCAAAGTATATAATATTTGATTTTTAAGGCTCACAGTTGGCATCAAACCCCACAGACTTGCAGGTCAGGCTGGAGATGTCCTGGTTCTTGAGAAGTTGTGGGTTCTAAGCTGTGCTGTGGGTTGGCAATAGGGAGTGGGATGCAATTTCGGGAAAACCCACCTGAATAGATTCGTGGAATTGTTAAGGTTGGAAAAGAGCCTTAAGATCAAGTCTAACCATCAACACAGCACAATATTCACCATTTAACCATGTCCTCGAGTGCCATATCCACATGTTTTTTGAACACTTTCAGGGATGGCGACTCCACCACTTCCATGGGCAAGCCTGTTCCTGGGCTTCACAACCTTTTCTGTGAAGAAATGTTTCCAAATGTCCAATCTAAACCTCATCTGGTGCAATTGAGGCCGTTTCCTTTCATCCTTTTAACGACCTGCTCGGGGTGTCTTGCAGGAAAATAAACACGAAGCTGAAGGCAGGTTTATAAACACAAACGATGCTGGGCTGTCTCCTGCAGCTTCCAGAGGTGCAAACTGTTTTATTGGTATTAGCAGGGAGCCCCTTGGCTGTAATTAGGCAGCCACAGAGTACAGAATATTTCTCCAAGATGCCACAGCACTTGCTGGTTTGATCTAACCCACTGGTGCTTTTTTCTTCCTTATTCCGACAGAAAACGCCGGTGGCTGTTTCTTGCTCCGTGGAAGGAAGCTAAAGGAGTTAATTGAATTAAATCCTGAATCTGGGTAGCCAGGAGTAAGGCAGACTGAAAACTGAAGCCTGAACTCTATTTGAGCTTGAAGAGAGACACTAAGAACGTCTTGGAGAGCAAATCTACTGCTTGGAGACCAGTAGGGCTGGTAAAAGGTAAGACTTCAGAGCAGTGTGGTGTGGAGGCCACCAAAATGTGACCAGAACACTTCAGAGCTGATGCAGGGGTTTGCAAACGTTCTCGTTGCTGATGACTTAGAACAATCTTGCTCCCCATGGTAGGGGATGAATTAATTGTGTTCCAGCAAAAATCTCATAAGCCAGAAGCAATTCCCATGTCCGTGTTTTGCCATTGGATGGTTTGTTTTGCAGGAATGGTTTATTAACAAATGTCGAGCGAGAAGAATCTCTGTGGAGGAAGTCAGTGTATAAAACTGAGTGTGAAAATCTGCTGCTCGTAATGAATTGGCTTAATTAGGATCCAATTAACTAAATGGTCAAAAGAGAGGGACTTGGACTTTGCGGTTACTTTGGAAAGCACTGAATGTTGAGGGTTTTTTTGTGCTCTGCCACAGTGTGAAGCTATAAAAATGTTCTTATAAGAGGCATAAGAAAACAAAAGCCTGGCAAGTCAAGTCAGCTATGAACTTCTAAATCATGACCACTGGATACAGTGAAATGCATTAATAGAGCAGGAAATGAGAGAATGGCAATAAAAATTGTACAAATCACAGCAGAGGCAAGAATTAGGTCATGGACAAATGGCATTTATTGGCAGAGCAAGCAAGGGAGGGATTATGTCCTAGAAAATAAGAAATTAATGCCTCATTATTGGTGGTTCTCCCCGTTTTCAGTATCTGAATATAGACCTTTATTTTTTCACAAATAATATTTTATATGTGGTTTTTACACGCTCTTATTTCTCTTGATTATCCCCAACAGGGCAAAAATTCAGATTAAAAAAGTGACGAGAATAAAACCAGAGTCTTATCCCTAAATTTCTCTTCAGTTACTAGAGAGAAACCTGTCAATAATAGGAGTGGGGACTTAATCTGTAGGCTGATGTTTGTGCTGTGCTGGTAACATGGTTTCAGTGTTTCCTCACTTAAACGTTCAAGGTCAATTAAAACTTAAATAAACAGATTAAATTTTGCCTTGCTGGCTGTGGAGAAGGCAGTCTGTGCACGGGTCTTTATCACAAGAGCTAAAAGGCTGAAGAATTTGCTCCTCTGTGTGCAAATTACTCGATATTTCTTATGGTTCCTTCCCAAATCTGACACTTAAATAGAGTGTCTTGGTTTTATGAGGGCTCTGACCTGAACTCAGATCTCATTGTCACTTTGGAAACAACATCTTTCTTTCCAAGGCCTGCAGTTCTGTGCTGGCTGTTGTACAAAAAACCACAATATGTGTCAGCTCTGCTTTAAAGGTTGTGGGTTTAGTTTGGGGAGGCACTAACTAGATAATTGCTACCTGCTGGCACAGAGAATAGGTTGTTATTTAATGTATGCAGATTTTTAACAAAAAAAAATAAATGTTAAGCCTGCTGAATAACTTCATTTTCAGCATCAAAATGCGCCTTAATTTGAGACTGAGATTTTAAAAATATACATTATTCCTCCCCTGTGTATTAGTGTTGTGAAGCTCTGGTTTATCACTCTTGCTAACGTGGAGCAAGAAGGAGGCTGAATTGTGGTTGCGGGAAATGCTGGGGTTTGTTGTTTTGGTTTGGTTTTTTTCTTAAATCAGTTGAGCAACAAGTTTGCCTTTCTCCTGAAGTTTTGCCCTCCAACATCACAAGGGCTTCAGGAGGATTCCTGATATGCTCTCATGCTTCCTGTTTTTATGTACCCTTTCTTTCTCCTTCTCTCCCAGTGGGTGTTGCACTTTTTCTCTCTTGCTCTGCACAAAGTTGGCAGCTGAATGGGTAAGGCCCGTGGGTATCTGTCTGATTTTACTTCTCCTTATCACTTTATCCCTCTTTGGAAAGCATCCTCTCATTATGTAATCTGTTCTTCCAAGCTCAGGAAGATGCATTTCCCAGGTAGGATGGTTCAGGGTGTGCTTTATTTACATGCTGTCACTGGGAAGAGTTTGAGATGCTGGATAAGGAACAAGGTGCATCCTCTTGCTTCCCATTTGTCCATGGGTGCAGTTCTGCTCCAGATTTTGTCTGAAAGAAAAATTACAGTAACTTCTGATACTGGTATCACCTTGTACCTCTTGGGGGTTTTAAAGTTCTGTGTCCCTTTACTCTTGTTTCCCCATCTCTGACAACTTTTCCTGAGAGCAGCAAATCTAAAAGTTCCTTTTATCTAGTGCTGATTTCTGTGTGTAGATTAAACACTCCAGATGTTTGAGATCACTATATGCTGCAGAGGTTATTTTTTTTCTGGACACTAGAAATGGGGAATACAAAGGATAAAAGACTGGGTTTAGCAGAATGGGAGGAGGTTTTAATCTTCATGCTGGGAAGTATCAACCCAAAGAGTTCCTGGCACAGCCTGTTGAATAATTTCAAATACCATTTTCTTGTGGCATCATAGCAGTGTTCTACTGTGTAATTTGGCAACTGAAATGCTGTGGCAAAAGAAAAGGGTGGCTCCTGGTTATTGTTGTCTTCTGCAAAGCAGAAAGTTTCCTCCTATGCAGGCTGGTGCCAGACAGAATTACAGTCCTGATCCTAACAGCCCCAAAAGCAAGTAGGGCAGAAACAGCTCCTATAAATCACTGTTTTCAGCAGAGGTTTGTGCCAGGTGAGGAGCTGAGCTTTGCACCTGCTTCATCCTTAACTAAATAGGTGCTGATGCAAGTTTTTAAACTCCAACCTCTATTTCCAGCTGTCACCGTCGAGCTGTGGCTTGGCTCGTTCTTCCTCTCACTTGACAATGTGATGGGGAGTCTGAGAAACTATTTTCAGGGACTCTAGAGTTTCCCTGACCTACTCTTGAGGAAAAAAAATTGGCTCCTGCAGTGAGGAAAGCTTATTTACACCTAGGAATTGCCCCTGTGGCAGTGTGGAGACAAGAACTGTGTCTGAACTGTGGCTCTGCCTCTGTCCCGTCGGGTTTGTGGCAGTATCCTGGCACCACAATGCCATTAATATTTGTGGAAGAGCTTGTGGAGCTGCCTGGGGAGCCCAGGATGTGCCCGAGAAGGTGCCCCAGGCTGTTTTGGGGAGGGATGGTGGTACCACAGAACAAGAAGTGCCTCTGGGTCAGGTTCCATCACACCTCCATCACAAACCCCACACTGGGTGTCACCTCCTTGTGTGTCCCCACCTGTTCTGACCTTTCCAGATAAAACAGGAGCATTGCCTATGAACAGGTGAATATTGCAAGCTGCTGTTTGGGTTGATTAATTGGTGGAGCTTGTAAATAATTTTCTGTAATAATTACACAGGTTGAAAACGATTAAAATTCATCATCGGCTGCTTCTTACAGTCAAGCTTGTGCTACTTTATGTGGTAGGTGGAATAATTTATTGTGAGAGCCCATTTAAAAGCTTTTTTCTGGAAGAGATTAGCAACTGTCATCTTTATTTCTACTATTCTGCTTTTCTAATATTTGTGTTTCTACTCCCACTTCGACATATTTGAGGAATGATACCTTACTGGGAGGGAAATGGGATATAAAGGCTGAACACAACTGGATTGTTCCAGGAACTCCAGGCTACTGCCTGACCTTGCAAATGCAGCTTCCTTGAAGTAATTCAAGTAGCTGTAGCTCATTATTACACCTGAGATTTGGACACGCTGTAAATCATCTTGTGTGGTTGAGGTTTTAAACCCTGGATTTCTTAAATAAAGGGCCACGAGCAAATTCAGAATTGTTTTGCCCCAAAACAAGATTTAGGTTGATGGTATCAGTCAGCAGCCTGAAAATAAACACAAAGGAGTTCTCTTATTCCAAATTTTGTGGAGTTCTCTTCTTAGAGATTTTGTGAGGGAGTTCTCTTATTACAAATTTTGTGAAGCTACTTGTTGTAGGATGACGTAGAGGTTCTTCACAGGGACTTGTGGACTGACCCTCAGCTGGCAGTTCTTGTGTTGGGAATTCAAATTTTTGACTTAAGTAGATCAGCACCAGCTTGGAAAATAGGAAGATATCCCCAACTTCCTTGTTCATGTGTTTCCAGCTTCAAAACATGAAAAGAAATAAAAGCTGGGACTCAGAGAGGACTCACATTTTTGTTCCTTATTTCCTGAAATATAATTAGGGGTGTTGAAATGGAGGTTTTGTGCTTCTCTCCATCTATTCTTTGGATGCTGTGCTGAACAGTGCTTTCCTTTTCCACCCCATCACCTCTGTACCTGGAATAAATCGTCCTTCTGACTGAAGGGATCTGCTGGAATGTGGGGGAAGGAGACTGGCACAGTTGAGCTGATCTCTGTGACAGCTGTGCTGTCTCTGACAGAGTCAAGAGCTGGGACTCTCTTTCTCATTTGGCTCATGATTGCAGCTCTCAGTCTTTAAGAACCACAGATCTGCTTCCTCTTGCTACTGTCAATGGTGCATTTTCTGCATAGCCCAGGTGTTCACTTTTTTATTTCCTGGCAGGTGGGTGAGACACCAATTCCCAATCTGGGCAGATCCTCACTGTGAGGTGTCTGAGGATGTGGGAACTCACCCCCTGACCCATTAAAATAATTTAACAGTCTGTTTGCTGGGAACTGTGGCTTCAGACTTAACTTGGAGCAAATTTAACTACTCGCCAGAGCACACAACATCTATTATTACCAGAGAAGCTTCGCTCTCTTGAGCTTTAATTAGAAAGCCCCTAGTGCAGGTTGTCACCAGGATGCCAAAATAGCCCTGATGGGAGTTGCTGCCATTCATCACTGTTCTCCCCTCTCTGAGCAGGAGCAGGAGTGCAGCACAAAATTATAGGTAGCCAAGCAATGAGAAATGGCAAGATGATTCACAAGTACCATCATCCCCAAGCTTGGAGATTAATTGAGTGAAAGATACTCTCTGTGCAGCTTGAGTTAATGAATATAACCAATCATTCTGGGAAAACACACGTCTTGATTGCTTTCCAGGGAGGAAGGGAATCTCAGACAGCTTTTGTTATGCCACACTTAGTTCCCCACTGCTAGATAGGGCTCAGGGGCAGGCAGATTACACAGACTCTAGGAATTTGGGCTTTTTATAACT